TGTTCAATGTCCAAAGAACAATTCTCATAGACGGTTACGGCGGAGGCCTACCTGGCCCGCCACTTTACCAACACCACATGAGCGGATGAGCTGGCGTATTATTCAGGTGGGTCCTTTAGAGACAACCAATAATATTTCGCCACATCATCGGGTTCGGTCCACTTTATTTGGACTAGAGGAACTGGACTATTTTTATTTATGAAGAATAAAATTAACGGGTTCGGTTCAGCCTCCCTTTATTTTATTCATCATTAGACCACAACTATTGCGAGGAATCATTCATCAACTTCATTATTAATTTAAGATTCGATTCCTTTTCAGATATAAGAATAATGCTTTCAATTCTATTATTCTAAAAATAATTAAAAAAAAATGTTTCATTAAATTCTATGTTTTATTTTATTTTAATCAATAAATAATTCGAAAATACATTGACTTAAAATAAACAAAGCTAAAATTTATTCATTTATTTTGTATTTATTTATATATTATTCTAAAACTAAATTTTCATTTAAGAATATGTTTAGTTTTGTGCTATTCCTTTAAAAAAAAAAAAATAATGGAATAAACCAAGAATAAACTATCCCCATTACGTGAAGGTTTGAAGATTAATAATTATTTATAAATCAAGAAAAATATGAAAATGAGTCTATTAAAAATTATTAAATATAAATTTGTGTAAACTTTAAATTTTATTTGTAAATTAAAAAAATTAGAGACGAAATAAGGAAAAAATGAGGGACTGGTTTGTAATTAAACTTTATTTGATTTAAATTGTGGGTTTAATGAGTGGTGTAGCGTGCCAGGCAAGGAGTGGAGCGGTGCACTGCGAGAACAGAACGGCCCATCTTATCAGCAACCAACACGAGTCTTCTTATTGTTCACAGGAACAGGAAATAAAAAGTGGGTGAAGGGAATGTCTGTCTTTCCATGGCTATAGACATGGTTCCAATGGGACCCATTTCTGAGCACCAGGCCACCCATTTTGCAAACAAACCCATCCAGGTGTGAGTTTTTGGATTATGGGTTTTGCCGTCACCAGTCTACGATGGAGACCTATCCACACCCAAATCTTTAACAACATGACTTGTCTGCAAAATCATGTGTTTGTGTAATGTCTGAACCTTCGTCTCCTTCTATTTCTCCTCCAGTTACTTTGAATCCTATCGAGATTGAGATGGTTTGTTTTAAAGTTAGGGTGAACAAATTCAAATAAAAAATTGATTCTCGATTGTTTTTTTGTCAGAGTCAATTGTTTCTATCCTAGTTTTGAACCCTAAGAAAAAAAGAAAATCGTATGGTTGTCCTAGTCCCAAAAGTTTATTGGTTCTTTGATTATGTGATCAGATCCCGTCCATCGGATTGATTCAATCCCCTCTCACCCTTGTTGGGTTACCAACTGCTCAAGGAGTTGAAAAAGTCCTTCTCTTCCACCCACATATGGACCCATTCTTAAGCACGACAACCACCTAGATCATCCACTATCATAGTGAAAAATATATATGAAGGCCTTGCTTGGAATCATCATAGTGAAAAATATATATGAAGGCCTTGCTTGGACTAATGATTCGTAGACTTAGAGTCAAATTTTTCAATCGTCCTAAATATTGAATTCATAATTCATTTTACACTTTTTATGAAAGTCAACTAAGTACGGTAAGTAAATTAATCCAAGTACGGAAATGTAAAAAATTGTCGGTGAAGTTTGACTTATCATCCTAGGAATAGTCAATTTTATGAACTACCCCTAATTGCCCCTTCTTAAAAGGGTGGAAATTTTTTATTTCATCTATTTAGACTAGACGGAAAAATATCTTATTGTTGCATGATTTTATCATTGTAACTCTCAATAAAAGATGTCTATAAAATAATTTTGAACTCTGTGTAACGGAGTAACCCATGACTAACCGTCCTCTTTTGGCGTGTGATCAACTGAATCATGGTCCCGTCTCCAACTGACGTGGTCCAAAACAGTTGAGTTAATGTTATACAATTAAATAACAATAATATTACATATTTCTCATTAAATTTCCAATGGTTTGAAAATTTAAATATATTATTTAATCTCTAATTTTAATTTCTTTCTTTTTTTTATCTATTATTAAGTAGTTTTCTTTTTTAAAAATTAAATTATTATCTAAATTTTTAAATTTGTATCTCTTCAAAATTTTAAAAATTTTAATTTTGTATCTAATATTTATTAGAGAAAAAATTAAATGACTTATTAAATCTAAATTTAATTTTGTAATAATTTATCGATTAATTTAAATAGTTAAATTATTATATCATCCATAAAAAAATAAATAATAATAAAAGTGATAAGGTCGAAATTATGGTAGTTTAACGAACCAATCAATCAACACCACTATTCATTAGTAGCGAGAGTTTAGGTACATCTACCTCACGCTAATGTTTCTCCACAAATAATGTGGGCCGTCCAGATTCGGCACTGACACGTGTGATTCATACGTCGTTTTTAAATTCACAACAAAACGACAACCCACTGTCGCAAACCAACCCCTATTCTTGAACCCAGATTCGGCATAGATCGTTGCATCCTCCACACCACCGCGTCAGCTTTCCTACACATCGTCTGCCGTTGTGGGCCCATGCCACGTGTTAAAGAAATCTTTTATGCTCCCCACCTTTCAACCACGCATCTTTTCCCAAATTCATATGGTAACAATATACACATCTCGTATGTATATACAATATTTCCAAACATACTGTTTGTTTTACTTTTTATTTAATCCTTTTATATTAAATTTAGATCAAAATTATAAAATTTTTCAATAATTTAATTATTTGGCTATGGAAATATTCATTTGTTGCTATCTCAAGGTCTTAGGTTTTCGAGTGAGTTTGTCCACGTTTTTTTAAAGAGTCCTACACTCACAAGCATATTACTTGACAAGGGTTTGTTGGATGAAAGTCTCTGTTAAGGATATTTAGTAATAAATTATAGTTTACCATATATATTATATTTGATATTTTATTATAAGGCAAATATCTAATATTTGCTTTATTATCATACGTATCTTTCCATTTATTGTTATTTCCATTTATTACTATTTCCATATCCTTGTAATTCATTTGATTATAAATAAGATAACTTTCATACCATTTAGGTGTGGTGGATTAATCAAACATTCACATGGTATCAGAGCCCTCTCGGTTTAACAACCCCGATCCTTTCTTTTGAATGGCTTTTGAATCCTCTAATCTTCTTTTCCACCACCCCTGCTGGTTTTGACGCCACAGGGGCAGTCTTCATGGCTGCCGTAGTCGGAGTCGATTGATTACTCTTCGGCTCCACCCTATTGACCTCCAAATCACCTTTCGTCATACTCTGTACATACAACCTTACCTTTTCCAACCCAATCGGTTTTCCCCTTGGCCAATATAGTCTCTCTCATTTTCTTCCCAATCAACCTTCATCCTTCACATAAACTCTAACCTAAACCTATCAACCTTTTGCAGAGATTTACCTTCGGAATCTGGGTGCCGCACTGGCCTATTCGCCAACCAAGTTGCCGCCGCCCTTCCTGCCAAAATTGGCTTCTTCGCCCGATGAGGCGACTCTTCCGACTGCCCTTCTCGCCAAAATTGGCTCCTTCGCCTAATGTGGCGACTCTTCCGGCTTCAACATTGTCTTTGTCCCTTGCTCTAGGTTTCCCCTTCTACTTCTTGGGGTTAGAAATATTCTCACCAGAGCCAAGGCAGCATCGTCGCTAAGCGACAATCCCTCTTCATGGGTTAGACATATTCTCGCCGAAGCCAAGGCAGCATTGCCGCTGAGCGGCGATTCCTCTGCAATTTTCGATGGTCAAGAAAGTGTTTCTCTACGCCTCCTCTGAACCAGGTTGTTGACTTCTTCAAGAAAAGTGTTTCTCAACCTCTTTGAATTTTTCAGATTCAAGCTTCACGTTCGTTTAAATCCGACGCTTAGCTTGCGGTGGGGTGTTAAGGATATTTAGTAATAAATTATAGTTTACCATATATATTATATTTGATATTTTATTATAAGGCAAATATCTAATATTTGCTTTATTATCATACGTATCTTTCCATTTATTGTTATTTCCATTTATTACTATTTCCATATCCTTGTAATTCATTTGATTATAAATAAGATAACTTTCATACCATTTAGGTGTGGTGGATTAATCAAACATTCACAGTCTCACATCGGCTAATTTAGAGAATGATCATGGGTTTATAATCAAGAAATACTCTCTCTACTCGTACGATGAGAGCTTGTTAAGCTCAAAATAGATAATATTATATAATTGTGGAGAGTCGTGTTCATCCAACATGTTACCAGAGCATAATTCTTACACAAGGTCAATGTAGTTGCTAGCATCGAAGAAACCCGTCATAGACGAGAGAGTGAGGGTTCAGAGTTGGCGAACGAGCTGTTATCGTGAGAGAAGAAAGCAACGAGGTTATTACTCGAATTAATTAAAAGTTTATAATTTAAGGGAAAAGGTTAAAGGAGGGAAAGAAAGTGTTTGAAAAGTGTTATCTAGAAAGACGTGATGAAGGCAACAAGGCAGGGACCCAGGCGGCATCCCAGCGAGCAGCCCACCAGGGAACTGGCAATGAATCCCATGCCTTCCTCAAATGACTTGAATACGACCCTTCCTGGCCCATGATCTCCTTCCACTGGATCATATCCGCGCTTCAAATAATATCCTTCCGCCGTTTCAAACCGAATTTTCACTTTTCGTTTAATTTCTAATAAAAAATTAGATTATAACGTAAGTAGCCATGCTTCCAAAAATGCTATTAAATGCTAAATTAATAAAAAATACTTTTTGAATTTTGTATTTTGTTTTGAAAATACCTTAAATTTTATTATTATTATTATTATTATTATTATTATTATCATCTTTTAATAATAGCCCAAAAAAAATGAACGGAAGATATTCGGCCCATAGCTTTTTAGTTAATTACACTTTTACCATCACTGGCGGGAGTAATTATTTCTATAAATAGTGGGTAAGGCGTCCCAAGACCAGGCTTGGAGAAGCAACTCCAAACCTTCTTCTCAGGTCTCTTTTTTCTACATTCCTAGTCTCTCCTTTTCAATCTAGATAGGACCGATAACTTCGGGTTCAAATCCAAGAGGCGAAGTAGAAAATGGTCGGAGCCTCACACAGTCCCGGCGGCGTCGCCGCCAGATCTGACAGAACTGCGACCATCAAGTTTCTCTGCAGTTATGGAGGCAGGATCCTTCCTCGTTATCCTGATGGCAAACTCCGTTATCTTGGTGGTGTAACTCGTGTCCTCGCCGTCGATCGTTCCATTCCTTTTTCTGGTTAGTATTAATCTCTTTTCATAATTTATATTTCATTACCCGTGCATTTATTTCGCGAATGTTTCGATTGAATGTTGTAATTTATTAGGTTGAGGTTGAATGATTGATTTAAGCCTTGGTATGAACTTCTAGAGTGAGATTTATAATTGTGTCTGGTTACAGAACTGTTGTTGAAGCTGGAAAAGTTGTGTGGAACATGTGTGAGTCTTCGTTGTCAATTGCCTTCAGAGGATTTGGATGCTTTGGTATCGATAACCTCCGATGAGGACCTAGCGAATCTCATCGAGGAATACGATAGAGCAGCCTCGCCGTCTTCTTTGAAGATCAGAGCGTTCCTTTCACCGCCTAAATCCGTGAAAGAATTTCCTCTCCCTTGTTCGTCGGCCTCTTCATCACCGTCGTCCTCAAAACCTTCGTCTCCGACAACTGCTATATCCTCTCCAAGGGCCTCAACGCAGGTTCCTGACTATTGTATCCATCAGATCCCAACGCCAGTAAGGTTTTCGTACCGCCTGAAGAAGTCACCGGCGAAGGTTCCTCTCTTCTCATATCATCCTCAAGGGAATCCTAGCCACATCTACCTCATCCACAATGGCAATCACTGGCAATAGCATCAACTAGGATGAGGGAAATCAAAGTAAACATACATATAAGATATAACGAAATAGAAAAAGGAAATTCCAAGCACAAAAAAGGATGTATGATGTAAGGAGAATGTACATGTCGCTAAGGATTTCCTTTTGATCCATTAGCCATTAATGAAATTCGGTCCTATTTCATTTTGCAGCCGTAGCTATTGTGATGGCGAGTTTCTTCGTCAAAGAAACGGAATCCGTTCCCGACTTTGAATTACAGCTTCCATACCATTAGGTCCGTTAATCGCACGCTTGTCCTCTCTCCCAGTAAGAGTTTAGCAAATGTCCACCGTTTTCTCTAGGTCCTATTAACATTCCACGCACGGAGCGTCCATAGTTTAGGTCTGATTGTTGCTTGCTTGTGCACAATACGTATTTTTACTCTGGCACAACTGGCTTTATTATCTGATCTTGTTTCTTTCGTTCTCTTTTCAAAACTCAGTTTTAATAAGTTCTACTGTTCATTTTTCAAAATACTATGAATGTTGTCCGGTGGATTACAATTTCCGTAGTCTTTGATAAAACGATGAACTATATAGTTTTTCATTGGATGTCAATCTTACCAATCTGATTTTGCAGGGTATAAGAGACCATCGCATTGGATCAAACAAAATTTGAAGACACAAGGAGCTACGGCTGCGATTCTGCCATTGGATGTAAGATCTCTGTCTCATCTAATCTATTAGTCAAATTTGTATATGTTTGTGCTGTGTGTTCGTAAGTGTTGCTTCATCTCAGGCCTTCCAACATGGTTCTGCCCTTTCAATTGTTGATTCTATCAATCCTCTTACTGATCAGTTATTGTAGGCCTTCAAAAGTGTTGTATTAATTTAATAAGTGGTGTCGGCTTTGTTTTCAAGTGTTCCTAACTGTTGCCTAATTTTATCATATGTGTGTGTACCTGTTCAATAGCCCTTCAATTCCTTTTAGGCCTTCTAGTATAGTTCAATCCCTTTAATCGTCGTTTCTTTCATTCCGCTTACTCCGTTGCTGTAGACTCTCTTTCTCTCTCCGCACACACATTCATACACGTATATTTTACCTCCTTGGCTTTCTGGATGAAAAGTTCACAAGTCGTATTCGTGGTTGCGAAAGATCACATAAATTCTATATTAAAAATGTGTTCTGAGAAAATGATGATATATTTATATGCATTGGATCCTTTATATATGTTAGGTACATGGGACGAAAATCAGCCATTGTCGGAACCAGAGGTCTACGAGGTCTGTTTGCTCTGTTTTCTGTACCAAGAGTTTCATTCGCAATCACAGGTATTCCTTTCTTCTTTCCCATTCATCTTGAAAAAAGTAACACAAGATAATACTCTGGAAAATTTTGAGGAGAAATAAAATTAAAAAGTAAAGACCTACAAATAGGGAATTGTGGGGGGAAAGACAGCAGTAATATGGTAGTATTAGGAGCAAATTGCAGGCTTCTATGGCGTGGCCTTGACAATGAGGTTTGGTTTGTTTCTCTGTTTGGAGATTGGAGGAAAAGTCCATGAGTGGACAACAGGGACAATGGCTGAAAATGCATTGGGGACCATATTGAGATCCGTTTGACAAAAAAAAAAAAAAAAAAAAAAAAAAAAAAAAAAAAAAAAAAAAAAAAAAAAAAAAAAAAAAAAAANNAAAAAAAAAAAAAAAAAAAAAAAAAAAAAAAAAAAAAAAAAAAAAAAAAAAAGATAAAGATAAAAGACGGGGCCCATCCATAGCATCAAGATAAGATAAGACTTCTGGGTTACGTTACATTATCTAGATTGTCTCTTTGCCAGACAAGGGGAAGGCACTGGACTTGTGTTTCATTTCATCTAAATTTACTAGAAGAAATAAAGTCACAATCGTATAAGGACCAGTAAAAGAAAAAGTAAATAATTAATGACCCACCTACCCTTTTAAATTCTAACTCCAGTTTGGGAAACAGATTCTCACCACACATGATATGATGCGGTCCAACACTGGCTGGAAATTTATCCCATTCTTCAAAAGGCCATTTTCTATTATTTATTTATTTATTTATTTATTCTTCTGAGAAGTAGCCATTTGCAAATATATTTTAATTCTAATAAATTTTTTTTATTTATAAAAAGGAAGATAACATGTGCGTGGGCCATGTTTTCAGACTCTTTTTATGCTAGAGAAACAGAAAAGGATGCCCACACACACACATATAAGTCTGCAATTATTCGGTATTTTATTTTTAAAAATGATTTTTTACCTCTTAATTTCGTTTGTAATGGTTTTCATCTAAAAATATTGAAATTTTCATTCTCTATTTGACTTGGATTTTGGTACATTTCTTTTCTTAAATTTAAAATTTGTTTATACATTTAAAAAATTATTTTTATTATTATGTTTTGAAGTTATCTTATTCCAATCTATTATCTTATATTCATTTATGAATCGACAATTTTTTGTTTAAAAATTCACGTATGGTCCACTGACATTAAAGTAGTGGATTTCAACTAATATATTAGAAAAAAATTTGTTTAGAAACTTCATTAAAAATAGAGAATAATATTGATATTCTCTAATTTGTTATTTTTTTTATCCCTTAAAATATTGATCAATAGACATTCAACCCCAAAATTTAATAAAAAATTGTTAAGACCGGTGTTTTGTATTGACCGGCCTCGTTTGTCGTATTCAAACACATGATGATTCACCTTTTTAAAAATAAAAATAAAAATAAGCTAGGCTATTTTAATTTATCAGTTACCCGCTTCACTAATAGTCATACAACGAATCCATACAAGAAACAGAAAAAAAAAAAAAAAAAAATCCAAATCCAACATTATTGAAGTCGTTGTTTGTAAGATCAATTGCTTTATGTAGATTATCTTTGAATTATATGTTTTTTTAGTTACGTATATTGCTTTGAATTATCTTGTTGGTTTTTCTATTTAATAATGCATTAAGATAAGTTAAATAATGATCATGTTAATCCAAGTCTTATTAATATTTTTTTCAAATAAATTTATTGTTATAATTCTAGTTTTTTTTTTTTTTTTTTTAAACTATTTAGTTTAATAGTGGTGGACATGATTTTATTATTTTACTTGATCGTTGTTTCGTCACATTATTATTATTATGATTATTAATGTTACTATATATATTTCATTGGTTCAGCCTATAAAAAGATATTACACTTAAGGGGTGTTTGTTTCTGGGGTTAGGAAAGGGATTTGAGGTGGGAATGATATGGGTTTCAGGGAGAGGATTTAATTTATTTTCTGGAGGAACTCTTTTTCCAAACATCTAAAAAGCAGGCAATGGAAGGGTTTTTAAAACGCATTCAAATGGATGAGGTGCTTTTATGTTTTTTCTTTTTGATCCTTTTTCCTTTTGTATTGTTTCTTCCTCCACTTTTTTGTTTTTCTTGATTATTTTTCATTTGTTTTTTTATTTTTCATTTGTTTTTTCCTTTTTTTATTTTCTTGGTTGTTTTTTTAAATATGATTATTTATTTTCAATTATTAATGTTGAGTATTATTTCTTCTTTTTTTATAACTCTATTAGCTTGTCTTCTTTTTTACAATTAGATGTGTTTTATGTTGAACTATGATTAATTGATTCAAATTAAATCTGTAGTTAATAATAATAAACTATAATTAATGAATTATTATAATGATATGAGATTTATAAATATATCACATTTAATATAATTTACCCCACCACATGCTATATTTTAATTCATTTATTTGAGAATTAAAACTTAATACAAAATAAACCTAAAAGCTTAAAATTTAAGTTACATAAATGAAAATTAAAATAAAATAAAACAAAATTATTTTAATAATCTGACTTATAGAAATAAAAGACCTAATAATAATTAATTATCTAAAATTAAATAATATAATAAAATTATTAAAAAGTATTTAGATAACATTTTTCATATAACATCTATTTGATTCCTTCTTCCACATTTTTTTTTCTAGTCATCGTAAATAAAAGTTTCACCCAACGGCCCTTGGGGTTTGAGCCATTGATTTCATTAGCCATTGGTTTTTCCAAAAGGGATGGACCAAAAAAATTATTTATTTTCCAAATCTTGGTAACTCACTAGCCTGAATTGTCGTCTTACCGTATTTTTCTTTTATCCTCCTGTCAAAATTATGAGCTTCCCCTTGTGTTGTATAATTTAGAAAAGCCATTAATTTTTAAACCATGATGACGATAACGTAATCTTAACAAGAAACCGTATGCCGACGTTTCAACGTCATTTGTAACCCATCAAATTTCCTTTGTCACCCGTTCCTCAAAGAGTTCTTTGATTGGAAGATTTCATATAAATAAATTATATTTTTTCTTAGTTCTTCCTTCAACAATTTTACTTTAGATAATTAATTGTAGTTAGTTTTTAGTAAGTTAAATTATTTTAATTATTTTAATTAATTTAATTTTTATATATTATAAATAATATCTTAAATTTGAGGTTTTTGAATTAATTCAATTATTATTTTCAAATAAGTGGTTTTAATCAAATTATACAAATTTTTAATTATAAATAATTAGTACCGTAATCACATTAAAGAATTAATTATACATGATGAAACACTATGTAAAGTGGAGTAAATTATTTAGGATGAGATTATCTTACAATAAGTTATTAATAAAACAATAAAAAGATTAAAAAAAAGAAGATTTTATATTACATGTGCAAAAAATGATGTAAAAAAGAAAGAAAGAAAGAAAGAAGAATAATTGTAAAATAGAAGGAAAAAAAGAGAGTAAAGAAAATGGAAATAAAAAACAAAGACATAAAAATAGAAAAGAAAATATGGAGGAAGGTTGATAAAAAAAAATGAAGAAATTAAAAAAGAAATAAGCAAAAAAAAAAAAAAAAAAAAAAAAAAAAAAAAAAAAAAAAAAAAAAAAAAAAAAAAAAAANAAAAAAAAAAGGAAAAATAGGGTGGGTTTTGAAGACCCGTAGTTTTTTTTTTAGAAGTTTCGAAAACCCACCACAATGTGATGCCAGGAAAAACTTTTTCAAGGCATCTTATTTGAATAGTTGAGCATACAAATGTCTCTGGTTCAACTATTGTTATTGTTATATAATTAAGGGTTTTGTCTAACAAAAATAATTTGAGGTCACACTCAATTAGTTGATGTCCTATTTGAACCAAGTCCATCTTTTTATCTCCTTGAATCATGATAAATTATTTTATTAAGTAACATGGTCTAGAGACAATTAAAATTATGTGGATATATTGTTTATGCATGTGATAATTTACTGGACACTGGGATTAACCATAAGAGTAGTGACATAAATGGCCAAATTTAGAACCGGGCTTCGAAATATACCCTATCTATTTCTTTGCCGGATAAATGGCCAAACAACACATTTAAACACTAGTTAAGATTTATCAAAGGATTACAATACCATAGTTTCAGAATTAATTATCTTAACCGGATGTCTCAAATATCACCTTAAATCCTAACGATTTTATATGCTGAAGTTATGTCTTAAGTTCTTCGTTTTATATCTTTAGTTAAGGGTTTTATGTTCATCCCTACATGTTTTCAATTTGGTTTTTTATGCATCAATAAATTTTTTTAATTCACTCCCTTGGTGTTAGGGAATCTTAAAGGCAATTGATATAAAATTGGAAGTGAACGAAAAAGTCATAAGAATTTTGAGAGAGGCTGAGACTATGAGTTTGGAAAATTTCGCCTATTGATCTAAAGCTTAATGTAGCGCACAATCAGCTGGAGGTAATTTTCATCTTCTAGCTCCTCTGTTTTTTAACATGGGTTCTATGAATTGGCTTAGTTGATCCAATACAGTCGATTGCTTTATAATTTTCTTAAACTGGGCTTCAGAAACTCCAGTGCCTTGATATTTCTTCGAATCTTTTGGAGTCTCTTCCTGATTCTATCAGCCTATTGGTTAATTGAAGGTCGTCAACGTATCAGGAAACAAACTGAACTTCCTGAAACCCTACTGGTTGCAGGTAACTAAATCAGTAGTCTTTGGCTTCCTTTTCAACAGCACATGGAAAATGATGTTCATTGTGCCGAGTTTTGAATATTTTGATTCGTTGGTGGAGTTGGATGCAAGTTTCAACAATCTGCGAAGTTTACCTATAAGTATTTGGATATGGATTGGTTAATCTTGAATGGCTATCAATCCAAGATATGTTACCTTCATACATCGATGTCAGCTTAGGTCTTTAAGATTTGGCCTGCCTCCGGTCATTGGAAGGTTAACGAGTCATGAGGTGTTGATTCTCAGTGGTAATTTCAACAACTTGACTGAGGTTACTGAATCAACTAGTGATCTCTGCAACCTAAGGGAGCTAGATCTTAGTGATAACCAGATAAGAGCTCTTCCAGACAGATTTGGCCGGCTGAAAAAACTAATAAACTGATTATGGATCAAAATCCGCGTCTGATTTCTCCAAAGGAAATTGTTGACAAAGGGGCCCAAGCAGTGAAGGATTTCATGGACATTGGAAGGGCGATTTAGATGCAGAAAACAGAAGGCCATGCATGAGGCAAACATGCCTGAAGATCAGAGTGGATGGCTTACTTGGGGATCCTCCATGTTGTCTAACGTAACTTCTGGGGTTGTACAAACTATTTCTGAATATACAGGAGGAAGGAACGAAACTTCCAAGGACCCATGGTTGTATCAATAGTTGTGAGTGGTGGATCGTATGGTTTTCTTATCAACCTGGATTTCTAAGGAAATTTGTGTATATTTGCATGTATGATAAATATACACGTATTTTGATGCAAATGCTACTGAACTGGATACCTACATGGTATAAGATTGGCTTCTATTTCCAAAACCTCAATCTGGAACCAACCATACAATCAACACAGAGATGTGTCATAACATGAATTTAATATAAGAAGAGCACATTCATGTACACCTTCTAAACTAAAACAATCATCTTTTTGTTTTTGTTTCTGTTCCTACAAATTAAACTTGTTTTATTGAAGATTGTTTATATATTTTTTTTGTTTACTCATAAACGTTTTGGTATCTTATGATTTATTTAGAATTTGTCTGCAAAACTCAAAACAAAAGATTTGTGGTCTGTG